GGTGGAGCCCATCACCGACGCCTGTAATCCGGAATGTTCAAATGTTCCGCGCCATAAATGTCTCTCGGCAACCGGGGCCTGTGTGTCCCTCATGCCGCGATTTCACATCCGTTGCGTCATGGCCGTATTAGAATCGGTCGGCGTGGTGAACACGTTTCTTTTTTTTTTTTTTTTTTTGTTTTAATCTCCGGAGCAACGGTCTCAAGCTGGCAAAATGGGATAGGCGCTCCGAGAAATCCTTACCCGGGGGGGTGAGAGAGGCGGATGCATGTTTAAAAATACCGAGGGATAGTCTGTGAACGATACCCCTCTCCACCCCACGCCAGCCCAGTTTGCCAGTTTGCCCCCCCCCCCCATCCAAATTGTTTTTTATCGCAAGACAACGGTTTGCTAGTCAGTAGCCCGTGGCAGGAGCCCAGGACTTGGGGAGCCTTACCCGGGGGTGGGGGGGGAAGTGGGGGAGTTTTGGTTCCCGTTTTTGCAGTTTCTGGAACAGTTTAGGGAAGGAAACACCTTTACACCTTATTGTCTGTGGTATCTGATGTCATGTCCTTCCGCGAGTGCCCCCCCCCCCCACGCATACTTCCTGCCATTCTGTTCAGCTGCCAGTCGCTGGGGGGCCACACAGGCCTGGGGGGAGTGGGGGGGGGGGTCCTGCTATAGAGTCCAGTCAACCCAATAGCATTGAATGCGAAAAGGTTGAAAAATGAACGTCAAAGTGTCAAAACTGAATGTAGCGTTGCCAAAAGCAGAGGGAGCGCTCGCTGCACGACTGCCAGCTCTGTTGTCTGTTCGCGCCTTTGGAATACAAGGCGAAAGGGCCTTGGGATGCGTTTTGTTTGCGTGTGTGCAAATCTCATGCCTCGTGATGTATCTTATGTAATGTCAGCACCTTGCTGTGGCTGACAGCGTAATGGATCGTCATGCTAAGAGAAAAGGGCCTTATTGACATTCGCTCGCACTGGGGTCTGGGGACACTTCCCAGCACGACTGGGATTCGGGAACTTTCTGCGGGATTCCCGCTGTCCTCAAAATACCGTGCTGCACCGCACAACAAAATAAATAACGAGCAATGAAAACAAAAAAAAAAAAACGTTTCAATGACGCCTGCAAACAGACACAAGTAAAAAAAAAAAATAGCATTAGTGGGCAAAATGCAGATGTGAAACTGTGCTTTGAATCTACGCTCCCGTTCAGATTGTTTGGAAACTGTTATTGCTGCTTTTCTTCACGGAAATGGGAGTTTATTTAAAAGGAGTGAGGGTTTATTTAATGTATCGTACACCTTCTAAAAGGTTTACTTACTGCTGTGTAATATGTTATTTTAAATCCTTATAACCACATTTCCTATGAGGATAGAGGAAAATGCTTTTTTTTCAGGCGTGTGTTATTACTAAATGTGTTGCAGATGTGTGTGAGGAGGTGTTCGGTAGCAACCAGGGCTGAATCAGGGGAAAAAAACATCCTAAATCCTGTAATCAATCATCTTTTGATTCCTGGAGGTTGCGGATGAGGT